AACCTGGTGGAGCATAGTAGGGGCAGATAGAGGTCAATGGAGGGATTTGGGAGAAGGGGCGTGGCCTCTAGGAATGGAGTCCCAGCTAGGCTTTCAGGCCAGTTCTGAGATGTATCCTAAACAGGAAGAGCCCCTTAAATAGGAAGAGTTGAAAAGGCTTTGGCCTGGCTTTTTAAAAAAAAATTATTTAATTGCATTACATTTTAATGCATTTTGTGCGCGTGTTCATACCACATCTCGTGTGTGTAGGCCAGAGAACATCTTAGAGCAGAATGCTCTTCCTTCCGTCATAGGGATCCCAGGGATCAAACTCAGGTTGTCAGGCTTGGTGGCAAGCGTCTTTGCCCGCTGAGCCATCTTGCTGGCCTGTGGCTGGGTTCTTTTGTATAGTTTCTTTAGTACAGTTTGGTGGCTGGGCCCCCAAAGGGCATTGTCCGAGAGATGGGTCCAAATGGGACAGAGAGCTTGAATGAGATAGTCAGGTGGGGACTCCTGACACCAGGAAAACCATGCTCTCAAAGTCCTGGAACCTGGGAAGGATTTTGACTCTCGCACCGGGCTCTTTTTTTTCTTCACCGTATCCAGGGAAGTCTGGATAACATGACTTGCATGGTGGTCTGCTTCCCAGGGGCCCCCGGGCCTTGTGAGGAGGCAATCAGGAGGGAGATGGCATTGGACGAAGTCCTGAGCCGCAAAGTTGCTGGTGAGCAGTGATCAAACGGCCGGTGGGGTAGGGGCAGTGGCCAGTATGGGCTCTCCACTCACCTCCTCCTCAGAGCTGTATTTGTCTGCCCAGGAACCCCCATGCCTAAACACGGTCTTCAGGACCCTGGAGTCAGAGGACATCCCAGGCCTGCCTCCCGGAGGAGGGCTGCATAGCAAGTAAGTTGGGGTGAGGCCGGAAGGGGCAGGTAGCAGGACTAGGTCTTCTCTTAAGGGCTTGCCTTTGCTCTCCAGGGCCACTGTCATTGCCGAAGCTTACTCTAAACTCTGTCAGACTCCAGAGGAGTGTCAAGAGGTAAGCACCCTCTCTTAGGGTCTACCCCCAACCTTACCCTACCCTCCTGCCTGCCTGCCACAGTCCTGCCCCTCTGGCAAGGACACCACCACTGAGCTCAGGCCCTAGCCCCAGCCCAGACCCCTGTGTTGTTGTTTTTTAATTTTTATAAGTTTTACCCTTTTTATTTATGCCTGTGTGAGAGACAGATGGAGGAAGGGGGTGAGTGCACACTCACTCACGCACGCACGAACACACACGTGTGCGCACATGAACACACAGATAGGCCTGTGTGCCATGTGGCTGTTAGGGAGGTCAAAGGTCTACCCACTGGAGTCAACTCGCACCTTCCACCATGTGGGTCCCAGGAATTTAATTTAGACCATTAAGCCTGGAGGCAAGTGTGTTTGTGTGATAAGTAGTCTCACAGCCCCTTTAAATCTTTTTGCGTTTATTTTTTTAAATTTAAGACAGGCATGGTGGTGCATGCTTTTAATCACAACACTTACAAGGCAGAGGCAAGCAGATCTCTGGGAGTTCAATGCCAGCCTGGTCTATAAAAACAGTTCCAGGACAGTCAGGGGCCACATAGTAAGACCTTGTCTCAAAAAAAGAAAGTCCAAAAATAACCAATCAATTAATAAAATACAGGGCCATACATAGGTATATGTGGGTCAGTGGCAGAACACTTTCTAGTATGTGCAAGGCCCTAGTTCCCTTCAAAAACAGCAAATAAGGGGATGGAAAGATGACTCAGCGATTAAGAGCACTTACCACCACAGCTGCAAATTCCAGCACTCCGGAGTGAGAAACTCAGAGGAGGTAGTTGAAGTCACCATGGATGACATGTGACCCTGTTTAAAAAAAAGAAAGAAAGAAAGAAAGAAAGAAAGAAAGAAAGAAAGAAAAGGCCGAGCATTGGTGGTGCACACCTTTAATCCCAGAACTCGGGAGGCAGAGGCAGGCAGATCTCTGTGAGTTCCAGGCCAGCCTCGTCTTCAGAGCGAGTTCCAGGACAACCCCCAGAGCAATTCAGAGAAACCCTGTCTTGAAAAACCAAATAAAATAAAAAAAGAAAAGAAAGAGTCTAGGTAGTGGTGGCTCATTCATTAGTTACAGCACTCGGGAGGCAGAGGCAGACAGAGCTCAGTTCGAGGCCAGCCTGGTCTACAAAGATTTCCAGGAAACCCTGTCTCCAAAAAAAGAAAAAACACCTATATACTTAATTTTTTTTATTTTTAAAAAGAAAAACAAAACGGGGGGTGGGGGAGCTTCTAGAAAACTGAGAGGGTGAGGACAGGTGGCTTCACTACCTCACATGCTTTGTCTCACAGAAGAAGTGAGATAGCAAGGAACCTACCAGCACCCACTCAACGCTTGACTTGAACTCGGGCCGGATGGCGGCTGTCCCCCGGGGACCATCTGCGGAGCTCAGGGGAAATCTGTGCTTCCTTACCATGGCTGGCTGGGGGCCAGCCCTTGAGGAACCTAGAATCTTCATTTCCCCTTCTCCTACTTCCCCCACGCAAGAATGTTATGAGGGGGGAACTCCACCGTCACTCAACAGAAAAAACAAACAAACTAACAAAAAAGCCCAGCATGGTTCTTTTTCTCCTCCTTAATATTTAAAGCCAAACAGATCTTAAGTGATCAGTGTGTATCAGCCTTTCTATGTATTTTTTTTTTAATCTTCTCTACGAGGAGGTGGTAAGAGATCTGGATATTATATTTGAATCAATAAAGCAATTCTAAATGTATTCCTTTTTTTGTTTTTTTAAATTGTTACTATTTATTTTGTGTTTACGTGTGTGTGTGTGTGTGTGTGTGTGTGTGTGTGTGTGTGTGTGGGACCACCTG